AAGAGAAATAAACCTACCTAAAAAGAAAACCAACCGTAATCATTTTCTCATTTAAACGGACCACGATTATCTTGGAAAATATAGTTGAAGATCATGTGAAATGAAGAGATTTCTGGTAATGTTTCTTCTTCCTTTTATTGTGTTGATTGATTGTGTTTTGATATGATATTATTAGATATAAAATTAAGCATTGTTTGAATATTGGAGGCTTAATTCACACAAGGGTTTTTTTTTTATCATAAATCTGAATGAGAAAGAGGATGAAGAATAAACTCAAATGAAGCCTTAGAATAACTTTCTTATTGATTCTTAAAATAGATTTCCAAAATTTTTTACTAAAAAGCTGTTTTAAGAAGCAATAAAAAAGTCGATCCAAAACGAAATCTAAGAGATATATAATAGTCTAAAAAGCTATAGGGAAAGTTGCCTTTTTTTTTTTTTGAACGGGGGTATTTATCCATTGCCACTCCAAATGGAGCACTTGGTGGTGTAACTAATCTCTTAGCGGAATCTAGCGAGGCCACCCACTGACATCGGGCCCACACTTGCATTGCCCCACTGAATAGGCGAGGCCGTTGTAGATGGGATTCGAACCCGGGATGAGGGGTTCCCAACCGTACACTCCCACCAATCACCCTAAGCCTCAGTGGATTATGAGGAAAGTTAATTCGTCTATTTCTCAGCATGAAGCTCACCTTTAACTTCCTTAATGAAATAATAAAGTTAATAACACAAACATAAATTATTAAAAATATAAATATGAATTTTTTTTAGGTTAATGGGTGTTTGCAAACTCAACAAGCATTCACAATTTTATTGTTGCTTTGCAAAAAATATTTATTTTTGAGTTGCATTCAAATGATTTAATAGGCCTCCACAAATCCTTCTGAGTCTCTATAAACCTTTTAGATCTCTATTAACCCCTTAGCAAGCCTATTTTAACTCTTGCAAGTATCCATTAATTTGCTTTGATAATTGTAATCTATTCATCAATTCTAGGATTCGTTTGGGACGGCTTTCTTACTGTTTCTTAAAGTAGCTTTTTAGTACATAAAAAAAATATACTAGAAAGCTACTTTAAAAAGCAGTAAGAAAATCATTCCAAGTGAAGCCTTAGTCAAATCAAGAGATCTTATTTTGCATATTTTTATTTATAAAAATTCAAAGTTTAACTTTTAATGCACTTATTGAATATATTCTAAGTGTTTGGAAGAAAACCTAAGAGATCCACTAACTGAATTCTTCTTTGGAGAAAAGTTGTGCCGAACTTGGATAAGAATTATTTTGATCCCAAACTTCTATTCGATCTCTGATCACTTGTTCATAGAAAATTTGTGAAGAAATGTGAAGTCTTTTTATTTGGAATAATTTTTTTTATTATTTTGTAAAGTAAATTTTTTTAATATAAAAATTTCTAATTAAAAAAAAATTATACTGAAAAACGTTTTAAAAAGCAATAAAAAGTTATTACAAATAAAACTTTAATCAAATTAAAATTAAAATTTATATAAATTTTAAATTACTTTGTTATTATTACTAGTCTTGGTGTTTTATAATCAAATTTATAGAGTATACAACAACAACAACAACAACATCAAGTTTTTATCCAACTACCTGAGGTCGGCTACAAGAAACTTTTTTTTTTCATTGTGTTCGATTAAAAAATCAAGTTCTCATTTAAATATTATAAAAAATGTCGTTTTTAAAACTTTCTAACTATTATTTTTGTAGAAATACCTCTACCTTTTTTAACGTAGGGCGGATCTAAGACATCTACACTGTAATTTGGCTATAAGAAGGCCAACATTTTATGTGATCAAATCATCAAAGGTGACTATTTAATCTTATCTGTCACTAGAGCTACCCAATCTTTTCATGTAAGTACTCATTTCTTAATCTATCTCAAAAAATATTTAGTATATGAAAAAAAAAATTTGATTTAAAATTTATTTTTATGATAATAATTGCATAAGAACAAACAATTATATCCTTCTAAATGGACCCTAATCAAGAGCATAAAACATTTGAAGTATTGATATAAAAGTATAAAAAAATATAGGGGGTTTTACATACATACCACTTTATTTCATGCTATTTACATATATAACAATCAAAACATTAATATTACATGATTACCACCCATAGAACAAATTTAGGTGCATAGAAATGAAATATTACAATTTATATGATGATATGAATGGTAGAAATGAATTATATGGGTCGTATATTTGACATTAAAGTTGTATATGGGTGATAGGCATGTAATTTTAATGTTTTGGATGTTAGATATGTAAATAGCATGAAATAAAGTGATATATATGTAAATTTCCAAAAAATATATTGATATAAAAGTAAATGTAGAGTGACTTCCGGGTTTATTTTGTGTATTTTTTATTTGTTTTTCAAGTCATAATTATATTTTTGTTTGAGTAATTTCTTATTGCTTTTCAAACATTCATGATTTATGTAGTGAAAAAATAGATATTCAACTTACGAAAAAATGATCATACTTATAATATTATTTTAAATTTCTTTTTTATATGGAGCGCATCTTGATCTGTTGATTGAGAATTTTTATTACCAATTAAAATATCTTGAATTCAAGTCTCACATGAAAAAATTATTGCGTCCTCCCACCTGACATAGAGATACGTCCTCCCGTAGCTAAAATCGCGCTAAAAAACGAGAAATACCTAGCAAATAACGAGCAATACTAAACAATAACGAGAAATATCATCATGTGAAGACCAATACCGAGTTTTACCGAGCTATACCGAGCAATACAAAAAAATACGAAAAAACTCTGTATTTTTTTGTATTACTTGGTATTAATCGGTATAGCTCGGTATAACTCGGTATTGGTATTCACATGATGATATTCCTCGTTATTATCAAATAATACCTAGCAATACCGAGCAAAAACCGAATTTTTTGGCGGTGGAAGGATGTATCTCTACGTCAGATGGGAGGACGCAATAATTTTTACACATATATGACCCTAAATAAATAAAAAAAATTATTTCTCACAAGAGGTCGACATTCTTTTTAATAAAAAAGTGCAGCCAATCAAACGGGACCTATGTTGATAAAACGGCTTTATTCCAGGTTAAAGCCTACACCCGTGGATGGAATATTCGAGATTCACGGCAGCTAATTCCCCGCATATTCATCGAATATTCGCTGCTGAAATCCTTAACCGATTCTGCTGAGCATCTTATTTTTATTTTTATTTTTATTTTCCACGGAAAATCTGCTTTAATTTAAATTTTGGTCGTTAAAATTAATTGAAAATTAAAAGGATAATTATTTAAAGAAAATTTAAACGGAGTCAAGTGGAAATTCAAATATTTCGACTGGCAGTTCAAACTTTAAATTTGAACATAATTAAATATTTAATTTTACTAAATAATTTTATATTTCATTTGGACAACATTATATTATTTTGCATTTCAAATCTGAGAAATTTTTTTTCATTACTTAAGAAAAAATTATATTAAAAACTGCTTTGAAACCGCTTTGAAAAAATTGCTTTATTCAAAGTAATTTTATAACCACTTTTATAAAAGCTCGGCCCTCCCAAACACTCTTATTGATTAAAGTGATTTTGAACGTGAAATTTGGCTAGCATGATTGGAGAAATTGGGTGGCTTTAGAATATAATAAATAAAGAGAGGAAGAGTGTAAAAGGGAGATAGTGCGAGATGCAAAAGATGCAAGCTTATCATCTTGAATAGGGCCGCCCAAAAAATTTATTTATTTTTCATATTCAAATAAATTCAGTTATATTTTATAAGCTAAGCACATATTTTTTTTTATTCAGCAACATATCTGTTCATTTGCAAAATATTAGTAGTAAAAAAAAATTAGAGAGTTTATTATCTTAACATTACATAATATTTTTATATAGTTGGAGAATCATAGTCGAGCAATTATGATATAAGGAGGGTCTTAGTTAAGCTATCATAGTTAGTGGTTTGAGGATCATGGACGGAACATGGCTTAATTTTCAGATGAGGCAAATTTATAAGTAAATGTGTAGAGATTATTTTTTTTTTCACAAATAACTTTACAACTAAAATTTGTTCCGAAGACTGCCTTTCGATCTCTATTTGTTCATATCCTTGATCGTTATACATTTTAGACATATGTCGAGGGTCCAAGGGGGTAGTGCCCCTTGCAGGATTCGTCCTACCCGGTCAGGTTATAGGGTCAAGGGGCAGCACCCCTGCGGGGGTTTTCGGGGGGAGTGCTCCCTGGAACAAATTTTGATTGTAAGAATATGTTTGAATTTTCTTTACTATTTCTTTTTTGTATTTGATTTATCGTTCCATAACAATAACATCTCTACATAATACATATAAAGTGATTGATCTGGGATCAATCGAACTCGGATTGGACTTTTTTGATATAGTTTGGTTAGTCGGTTCTAGACGTATAGTTCGACTCTAGTTTGTTGAAATCGGTGTTTGAATGATATTAATTTTAATTTTTAATATTTTTAAATCGAATATGCATTGAAATTCATGTCTGGTGAAAGAGTCTTTTCAATGACTTGTCAATATACATAAATAATAATATTATTTAAATTTTAATTTTTATAAAATTTTTTAATAACCTTAACCTCATATTTAGTTTACTAAATTAACAAGTCAAAGTTAAATAAAAAAATTTAACTCAGCTCATCCACACCTTTACTTTGGTGAGGTGTTTCTTATAAGAGAAGAGGCAATTGTCAAAATTTCTTTGATGCGTGTTTTGCCCAATCTCCAAGCTCTAGGCGACTTATATATTATTGATCTCAATTTTTATTATATTTAAATTTATGTTAAAATTAATATAATATATATTTTACTAATTCAAGCACAAATTTAAAGATAAGAATTTCATTCCTATTTTTTAATTATTTATTCTTAAAATTTTATCAATCCTATCTAAAAATAAAAATTTGATAAATAAATATATTCATTTATATTTTTTTTTCATGGTCTTCCTTAACACAAACGCATCTATTTCTCCATCTCTGAAGAAACCACCGACGATATAAAAATAGCAAAGAAAAAACCGGTTGCTTTGATCAGCCAGAGGCGTGGAGGTAGAGAAAGCCATGGCTCCGACTTCTCGGACTGCTTCTCTCCTCCTCCTCCTCTTAACATTCCTCTTCTCTTCATCTTCTTCAGAGCTTCAGAGAATTCTTCATCCGGCGAAGAACGACGGCTCTCTGAGCCTTCTCGTCGTCGGAGACTGGGGAAGAAAAGGCCAATTCAACCAGTCCCAAGTCGCAGAAAAGGCAATTCATGAACTTCTTCTCATTTTATTTGATCCATTGATCTTTATTCCGAAAGAAATCTTACAAAATGTGCAGATGGGAGAGATTGGTGAGGAACTCGACATCGATTTTGTGATATCTACAGGAGATAATTTCTACGAGAATGGATTAACGGGAGTTGACGATAAGGCGTTTGAGGAATCCTTCACCAATATCTTCACGGCAAAGAGTTTACAGACGCAATGGTTTTCAGGTAATAATAATTGATTAACCCGATTCTATTCTGTATTAAAAAATGGTTAATTAATTCCATTTCTGTTAATTAATAGTTCTGGGGAATCATGACTACAGAGGAGATGTTCTGGCGCAGCTAAGCCCTGTTCTTCAGAACATTGATAGCAGATGGCTCTGCTTGAGATCTTTTGTTCTTGATGCTGGTTAGCTGCTTATTGGATTATTTTGTTTATAATTTCACGGTTTAAGAAATTTAACTTTAATTTTTTTAATTTAGAAATTGCTGATTTCTTCTTTGTGGATACGACGCCCTTTGTTGTGAAGTATTGGACTGAACCAGAGAATCATCATTATGACTGGAGAGAAGTATCTCCTCGGGAAGAATATATTGATAATCTTCTGAAGGTCTGTATCAAAAAATGATTTAATTAGTGCATCATTATTAGATAATTAATTATGCATAATACAAAATTTGTCTGTATGAAAATGAAGGATTTGGATGAAGCATTGAAAGAATCGAGAGCGGCTTGGAAGTTTGTGGTTGGTCATCATACAATGAGAAGTGTGAGCGAGCATGGTGATACAGAAGAGCTGCTGGAGAATCTCCTCCCAATTCTTAAGGTGATTAATTATTTTATTATGTGTAAATGATAAGAAATTATGTGGTTTGATTTGTAAATTTTTTAAAAAAATTTGGATGTCCTAACTAGATTTTAATCAGGATGGGTTCTAAAGTTATCGGATTTTGGGTTCATTAGAGACAGCTTTTTTACTTCTTTTTAAAGCGGCTTTCATGTAAAAATATTTCTTGAACTAAAAATTATTGTACTAGAAAGCTGCTTTCAAAAGTGGTAAGAAAGCTGCTCCTAACGAAGTCTCACTTTGAGATTGACGTACACTCATCTCGAGATAAATCCGACGGCTTTAGAATGCTATCATGAATCTGAGAAATTATTATGTGCGGAGAACGGGCACAAAATATTGTCCGGATGCCAATCAGAATGTGCCACATCAGCAGTACCGAGCCACGATATCGAGCAGTACCGAACTGCGATACTGAGCAGAGGATGACGTGATGTATTTTGGTTGGCCTCCGAATGACGTTCGGCGTCCGCATAGAATAATTTCTTCATGAATCATGATCAATCATGTTTTTCCTCTTTCCATTTGCATATAAAATCAAAAATAATAAAGATTTTATTATGAAATATATGATAAAATTTTAAATTATTAAAATGTTTATCAACAATATAAAAATATCATTAAAAAATTAACATGTGTAAAATTTTTTAAGCCATTCAAATAAAAAAAATGAAATGGAATATTCTTATTTAATTTTCTTCCTAATTTTTTTTTTTTGGGAAAATTCCTAATTAAATAGATATACTTCATCATATAAATAAGAGTCATTAATTATGAGGAATCTTTATTAAATTAAATTAAAATTTTCTTTACCTAATTATGATAAATCTTTATGAAATAATTACAGGAAAATGGAGTTGATCTTTACATTAACGGGCATGACCATTGCCTGGAGCACATTAGCAGCAGAGATAGGTAAACAATCCAAGCCTTGCATTAAAGTTTTATTTGGGAACAGTTTTTTTATTATTTTATAAAATAGTTTTTTAGTTTTTTATATTTAAAAGTTATTTTAGAAAGCAGTAATAAAGATATTCGAAACAAAGCCTAAGGCTTCGTTTGGGATGACTTTCTAACTGCTTCTTAAAGCAGCCTTTCAGTGGAAAGTTTTAAATTTTTGTACTAAAAAGTTGCTTTAATAAGCAATAAGAAAGTTGTCCCAAACAAAACCTAAGTGCATCACCATGATACCAAAAGCATGAGAACATACTCACATGATTTTTTTCGCCGAATTTGCAGCTCGCTTCATTACTTAACGAGCGGCGGCGGCTCGAAGGCATGGAGGGGGACTTATATTCCAAATGATGACAATTTGCAGTTCTTCTATGATGGCCAGGGTTTCATGTCTATGCAAATTACTGAAACAAGTGCGAAGATGGTGTTTTATGATGTCTTTGGCCAGCCCTTGCATGAGCTGAACCTTGCCAAGCAGTTTCACAGTTACCTGTAATTTGCTAGATTTAAGTGTATATTATAATTGAACAAATGGGGGAGGGAGATTGCTAGGAATTGAAAATTGATTATGTAAACAAATAAAACTTATATGTGTCAATCATCTTGTATGATTATGAAGTGGAATTTTAGATATTTGTATTAATAATTTGAAGATTAATGGTCTATAATTTTTTTAAAATGTGATTATAAAATTACAGTGAAGAAAATAATCTCTGAAAGCTGCTACATAAACCAGCTTTCTAGCACAAGAAAATCGTGAAAGCAGTAAGAAAGTTGTCCCAAACAAAGCCTAAGATTGAACGACTCATGTGGTTATATAGTTATGATGAATTGGTTATCATGATGAAAGTCTCTTAGCATCAACTAATTCTTAAATTTCATAAATTATGTATAATTAATATTGACAATTGAATTAGAATTTTAAATGAGAGAGAGAGTAAAATTTTATTATAAATTTATAAATAATATTTTTATAATGCACATGATTATATGATGATTTAAGTTTCTTAAATTTAAAAGAATTTGAGCCAATTGTATATTCTATTAAATTTAAGCTTTATTTGAAACAACTTTACAATTGCTTTCATGATAAGAAAAGCTATTAGTAAAAAGGTAATGTGTATTTAGAAGAAAGCTTTTCCCTGCTATTTCAAAATTTTGCATTTAGAAAGCTGCTTTTGAAAAGCATTTCTGAAAGTGGTTGATAGGAAAGTTTTTAAAATAAAAATAAAAAAACTTAGGCTGTCTCTTACAAAATTTGTAAGATATTTTTTGGACCACTGTAATTTTTTGTAAAGATGATTGTAAAATTATTATGAGAAAATTAATTTTTTTTAAGTTATTGTAAAAATAACTTTTTAATTTAAAAATTTATTGAAATAACAAGAAAATGGCAACCAAATAAAAACTATAATTGCGATAAAAAAATAAAGCATTAAAAAATGTGTTTTAAATAATGATTAATTATTAATTAATTTAAGTACATGATATACACATGAAAAATATGGAATCAACACAAAAATCAATTGTGAGCAAAACTTTCTTAACCAAGTGAATTTGAATTTTTCATTTTCAAATTTTTGAGTCAACTAAAATAAAATTCATAAACAAATCAAATACGTAAGTTTGAACTCAAAATCTATTGATTGATAGTCAAAGCTTTCAATCGACTGATCAACGCAGTGAAATTTAGGCTTCGTTTGGAACAACTTTTTCACAGCTTCTTAAACCAGCTTCATTATACAAAAATTTAATTTTTTTTGTACTAAAAGCTGCTTTAAGAAGTCTTAAAAAGTCATCCCAAATGAAATTTAAAATTACATTCTAGTATAAAAATTTATTAGAAGTACTAAGAAAGCTTTGCCAAAGAAAATCTTAATTCAATTTATAAACAAAAGGTACTGATAATTACTGATATTTAATGATTGATAGAAGTGGTTGTTGAGTAATTGCTCTCCAACAGTTCTGCGATTGTGACTTCCAGAGCATTTGGGCTGTTAAAATCTGCACGCAATAAAGGTTGAGAAATTCTCAGCCGTAAGGAATGATTGCTGATCGTCCATCTGACGTTAAGATCCGTTCAAACGATATGATAAGCCAAAAAAATTTTGTTCTCGGCTAAACCCTAAACTGTATAGGTAATATTTAATTTATTGCAAGCATATGAATATGATTAATTAATGTGACCTTATTAAAATATTTAAATGTGGTCCTCGCAAGTTGGCTGAACTTTAGCTGATTTCCATGCGGTTCTATTGACATATAACGCAAAGCAATAATGCAGAGCTGATGCTGCGTCAGATGCACCGCCGGAATTACGGAATTCTTGTTTTTTTTTGTTTTTTTTCTGTATGTGGTCGGGAGAGAAAATGCAGACGTGGGCGTGCTTTATGTGGCTCGCAGGAGCGAAGGCAGGTAGATAGGTAGATATTCTACGCTTGCTTTTTAATAAATTGGTTTTGCAGTACTATAAAAATATTTTAAAAATTCATGAAATTAACATTTGCAAAAGGAGTCGAAGGACAATAATTGAGGTAATTTATCTCATTTAGAGCATTATTATATTTAAATGTATTTGTAAGTGTATATATTGCTTTTATTTTTTATGAAGTTGATAATGATTTAACATAATTATTGTTGCGTCTTGAATATTTGCGGTGGTTGAGAAATAAAATAAATGGAGTAGCATTCATAAGGAACTTTTATCTGGTCAATGTTCGCAGCTCTACGTTCGGCCACCAATTTTATAACGCCACGTAGCACGCAGAATGGCGCGGACCCGACCCGGTGAATAGCGGGTTTGGCGCACGTGCGTATTTTAAATCCTTGACGACCCGACAAACAGCCCATCACCCTTTCGTTAAAAATTCAAATATTTACCTACGTTTTCATTGGGATTTACTCGAATCAAAGACGAAGCGACTTCCTGCAACTTTATATTTCCTTCGTAGTTCGAAAGCATTTCCCGTGAGTTCGACACAAATTTCCGGTCGAGATACTCCACAGAAATCATGCTAGAGGTTAGAAATTGCATCTGAATAACATTACTTCTTTCCCAAGAATATAGTTTACCTGGTTAAAAAAAAATCGTATTTTTAGGGTTAGGGTTTACTCACTACCGTTCTTTTTTAGTATAAAAAATTAAATGTATATTGCGAGAACGAGTGAAATCAATTATTTTGGTAGTTCGAATTAATGCTCGGTACAAATCGGTATTCGGTCCTGCTATGTACTAATAGGTGCTGATCGGTACTTCTCCGAACAGCTCGGAACTCATCGTTTCTACGTTTTCTTCAGAGTTAATACTCTCTATTTACAATAAATACCCTTGTATTGTATATATAATATCATGTTCTTTGATGCTATGTACTGTTCCGTGCTGACCGATGCTTCTCAGTATTGCTCGGTACAGCGCGGTACCTCTCGGTACTTCTCGGTACAGTTTTTTTTCATAGATACTGCTTGGTATTTACAATAAAAATCTGAGTATTTTATATATAATATATTGTTCTTTGCTGCTCTGCACTGCTCGGTACAGTTAGATGCTGATAGGTGCATCTCGATATAGCTCGGTACTACTTGGTACAACGGTTTTTCAAAGAAAATACTCGGTTTTTACAATTAATACCTTAGTATTTTATATATAATATAATGTTCTTTGCTTCTCTATACTGTTCCGTGCTGATCGATGTTTGTCGGTAATGCTCGGATAAGCTCGGCACTGCTTGGTAATTCTCGGTACATCATTTTTTTAAGAGATACTGCTCGGCATTTACAACAAAAATATGAGTATTTTATATATAATATATTATTCTTTGCTGCTCGATAGCGGTCGGTACTGTTCGTTGCTGATCGGTGCTTCTCGGTACCGCTCGGTACACCTCGGTACATATTCCACCAAAACTCTAGCAAACAACGGACGAGCCCCCACAGCAGTGGCATTATAAACACAAAGAGGATGTCCAAATAGGGAACCAAGACCATGTAAGATATGGGCAGAAAAGAATTACGGCCGTGGGTTCGAGAAAGAGACCCAAACATGGACAATTGGAGATTCCTCCGAAATGTTCATAAAAGGAGACCATTTGGTCAGTTTCATGAAGTAATTCCTAACAAAATATAATATATGAGTAAACACACGACAGTAATCCAAATCACATCGCAATTTGATCAAAACATGATTGGAATCCAACAAAGTGACAGAAAAATCTCCGATAAGTTTTAAATTAAAGAAAAACCTCCTAATGGCATCAAAAGAAGGATGCTGATTAGGGAAATAACCAACTAAGGAAAATGCAAATGGAGCAGCAAGACCCAAAACCTCTTCCTCAAAATCCATAGAGAGGGGAACCCCTCGAAAAGAGGACCACTTAAGATCCAGAAAACACCCAAATGAAGAACCCTTAAGGGCATCAATAAAAGAACGAGAGTTAGATTTACCATCAAGAAATCCAAGATCACCTAACTCAACCGCCATAAGGGCGGACGGGACAAAGAAAAACTAAACCAACATGAACACAGAAAAAAACACACATATATGAAGGAGAAGAACATCCCTAAGTTGAGCAAAACGACAGCGAGAAGCAGAAAAACGTGATGCTAAGAGTTTTGATGGAACTTGATATCATGAAAGCTTTTCCCCGCTATTTCAAAATTTTGTATTTAGAAAGTTGCTTTTGAAAAGCATTTCTGAAAGTGGTTGATGGGAAAGTTTCAAAAGTAAAAAATAAAAAAATTAAAGCTATCTCTTACAAATTCGTAGGGTATTTTTGATACCGTTGTAATTTTTTGTAATGATGATTGTAAAATTATTATGATAATTTTTTTAAAGCTAATGTAAAAAATAACTTTGTAATTTAAAATTTTATTGAAATAAAAAAAAAATAGTAACCAAATAAAAATTATGATTCGTCATAAAAAAACATTAAAAAAGGTGTTTCAAATAGACGCTTAACTACTAATTAACTTCAGCACATGATAATACACATGAAAAACATGGAATCAAAGCAAAATTCAATTGTGAGCTAAGCTTTCTTAAACAAGTGAATTTTTTTTTCTGGCCTATTCAGCCAATTAAAGTCAAATTCATGTGCATATCACATACGTAAGTTTCGAACCCAACCTATTGATTGATTGCCAAAGCTTTCAATCAACCGATCAACGTAGCAAAATTTAGGCTCCGTTTGGGATGATTTTTTCACAGCTTCTTAAACCAACTTTATTATACAAAAAAAATAAATTTTTGTACTAAAAAGTTGATTTAAGAAATAGTTAAAAAGTCATCCCAAACGATAGTGTTTTAGTAATTTTTATACTAAAATATTTTTTAAGAGTCGTAAGAGAGCCGTCCCAAATGAAATCTAAATTCAATTTATAAACAAAAGGTACTAAAAAATACTGATATTTAATGATTGATGGAAGTGGTTGTTGAATAACTGCTCTCCAACAGTTCTACCATTGTGTCTTCCAGAGCATTTGGGCTGTTAAAATCTGCACGCAACAAAGGTTGAGAAATTCTCAGCCGTAAGGAATGATTGCTGATCGTCCATCTGACGTTAAGA